ATACCCATCTTGAAGGCAACATTTTGCTTTTCTTCATAGGAGTGTACGGCAATTAAATTGATTTTTCCAAACATTTCTTAGAAACAGTATCTGATTCCTGGCTCTCAAACTGGAATATGATTTGGAGACGGGTTGCCAGCATTTTAAATAACTTTCATGGAAGTGGAAAGAGCTTGGCAGAAGAACTGAGTGGTGGCAGTTTCTAGTTTTTTACTTCAAAATTAAAGTGTGGTTTGGTTGCTCATTGGGACAGTTTCAGCAGCAGCAGCACCCTAAACTAATATTAAGTCAAAATGATGCTGAGGGATGTTATACAAGTCCCCTCTTTGGGGTCCTGCAGCAGGTAAAGTCATTGCTGTTCAGAGAGCACATACAGGTTGGCAAACGACTAGAGATCTTCCTCATAACTGTAAATTGGTAGCCATTCACATTTGGGCTGAGACTATAGCTTGGTAGATCATATAGTGGATGATGGTTTAGGATGCTACCTGCTGCCAGCCAAAGGAGAGTGCTAGAATAGTCAGACAATAATGTTACATGCATAAAACAACACTCTATCTTGAATGAACCAAAGGTATCCATTTTGCAATACATTAGGTTGGGAGGGACACCTTGAGATTAAATATGGATCCTGCTGTTATACATACTTGGTCATTTTATTTAAAAGCAGTTTTATTCAATCTGCTGTACTCCAGACATGCTGGAAATGATAGAAATTGTAGTCCAACACATCAAGAGGCATTCAGATTACAGAAGACCAGGCTGCAATCTAGAATGGGCTCTGACCTCTAGTTATCCTAGGCATACAAATAGCCTGTTTCCCAGGTCAGACAAAACGTTTGCTATGCAGAGTGAAGTAGAAGTATAAAGTTATTTATCCTGATTAGGTTTTACTGTTGACCTAAAGTTTTCAGAAAGGATGTACAAGGAACTTGGCCAAGGGACGCCTGAAAGGATCAAGGATAGGAGTTCAGCCCTCTCCTTTAATACATAAAAGCCCCCTCATAGCTCCTAGCCTAACAGATACTGCCAACCATCTGAGATGAAGAAAAGGACAAAAATAGTATCCAGCTAGTGATAATGCAATATGAGACTAAGGTCAGATTCCTAAAAAAAAGCTGGGAAACTCTATGAATACTAATTCAAGTCTACTGGGAATGTCCATTAACTTATAAAGAAAATCAAATTACACAAAAGAGACACCATTACTCTGTGTGACAGCACACATTTTTCACTACACAGGTCTTGAGATATGGCTTCCTATGGTTTTTCTTTTTTCTTTTTCCTGCTGACGAGAACCCTAAATCCTGCCCTCCTCAACAATTCCATTCTAATCATTTCAGAACTGACAATTATTTAAGTGCTGGTCTCATTTAACAGGCATGTACCTGCATCCAAATTAGTTCAGAGAATGCATTCGAAAAACAATTGATACCCATGAGGATGTCTGGTGCACCATCCATGTATTTATGCAAGACAGACCTGAACATTAAACCACAGTCTGGTGCATTCTTGATAGGCAGCCCAAAGCACTAGGTCTGAATCATAGACAGTTTTCACCCTTCTCACTGACGATATGATATTGAAGTTGCACCTTGGGGATGGGAAAATTCCCTCCACAAAATTCAAAATCAGCTATAAACAATATTTTTTTAAAAATTTTTTTTTAACTTTTTCTGTGTTATACTCCAATTTTCGCTGTTGTGCTAGAGGAGTATTTTCTAACTTTTTAATGTTATTGTGCTTATGAAAAAGATGAAGGTTGGTTTTCTTTAATAAGCTTATGGTTCTCACAGCCATATTTCCATAGCAAAATAGGAAAATAAAAATTGCAAACCTACGGAAGAATACGTTGCATAATTGCCCTGGATTCATTTTAATCTATCCTGGATTTTAGACGGCTAAGAAAGGTAATGTTTAAAAGGTAAAGCTTGACCCCTGTAACTTCATGGAAACATCCATGCAGTTTACTTGGCAACAATGTGGAAGTGGTTTGTCATTTCCTTTGTTCTTTTCTTTTTTTATTTCTCAGTCCAGTCTACAGCTCTGCAATTTCATTGGCTCCCATCCAAATACAAACCAGATCTGGTCCTGCTTAACTCTGTGAGATCAGCCAAGATTGGCTAGGTCCTGCCTCCTTGTTGGGCAGAGGCAATATTAAAAGTGTAAAAATTCAGATACACTGAGAATATACCAGTGTATCACTGGCAACTACTGACTCACCGCAATTCAGAAAATAAATATGTCAAATGATAATTTCGTGGTATTAGGTTATACAGGAAAACTGTAAGGTTCATAGTGATGTGTAGAGTGGAGTTTTCACTTTTGTCTACAGTGCAGCTTCAATGTTTATCACCCAGCTTGGCAAGGAGGCAGTTTCCTGCTTGAGGAAAGAATTGTATTCCATTTCTTATACAACATGGTCCCTATGCCATCTGTTCACAAACAACAGACAAACATGATAAATCATGCATTTTAGATTTCTCCTTTGGCCCATATTTATGTTAATGAAACATGGAGCTAATCTAGAACAGTGTTTCTCAACCTCAGAAATTTAAGATGTGTGGACTTCAACTCCCAGAATTCCCCAGCCACACAAAAGTTGCTAAGGTTGAGAAACAGTGACCTAGACCATTTCCAGGGATACAGCCATGTCAGTGAAGACAAAACTTCTGATTATGGACCCCTAATCCTGCCAGGGATTCACATGAAACAAGTAACACATTTTAAAGCTATTCTCCTATGAGGATCAAACAGGAAGTTACAGATGAATCAGGAGAATGTCTTGGTTATTCCTAGTCACATGATTCCATCAGTCCACAGTAATATATAGACCATAAGTAAGGATTGACTTTTGTATGACTAATATTGCTGGTAAAGTTATAATTTTGCAGATTCTACAACTCAGGCCAATGACAGTTACATTTACTATTCTGCTCTCTACTCTTTTACTATTCAGTCCTTATTACTACCACCTCCTGTTGACTTTCTACCTAGTAATCTTCCTTTGCCCATCTCAGCCAACCCTTTGCAGCTATGTACTATATCTGTGAACACATCTAATGGGTTTAATTTTTGTTTTTACTCAGAAATGGAAATAAGGGTATTTGTTACATGACTAAGGTATCTGGCTGCACATTTTTTATCTTTTTTTAAGTAGCTGGTGCCACCTCATTCTATTTTTTTAAAGTCCCAACCCATTTCAAAAGGGGGTTATAGAGTTGAATATCACAGAATTAGGGCCCAACTCTAGATATTTTCTGCCAGAAGCAACTGGCATTATGTTAAGCTCACTTTCTTTCAGTAAATACATTTAGGAATGCAGGTTTTTTTTGCTCATGGATATCTATCTATCTATCTATCTGTCTGTCTGTCTGTAGATCTGTCTACCTACCTACCTACCGACCTACCTATCTACCTATGAAATTGAAAGCTGATGGTGGGCATATGGGTAGCTGGAATTTTGGTTTAAGGGTTGCTTGGATGATCAGCGGGCAGCTGGTCTAGAATGCAATGGTGTGAACAATTATGGGTGTACCTCAGCACAGCCATGTAACTCCTCTGCTACATGAGCTGCACTGCTTACCAGTGAGCTTCTGAGTGCAATTCAAAGTACTGGTTATTACCTTCAAGGCCCTTAATGGCATAGATTGTCTGAGGGACTAGCTCTTTTCCATTGCTTTTGCCCATCCCATCAGATCTGCCAGAGTGGGCACACTTCCTCTCCCAGCTTTCAAGAATGTCATCTAATGGGACCTAGGAAGTGGGCCTTCTCTGTTGATGCCTGCCCTCCAGAGCAGCATCTCCCCAGAGATTTGAACTACCCAACCCTGCAATCCTTTACAGAAACCTTGAAACCTTGATGCTTCCCCAAAGCTCTGTGATAGGCTGGGGAATGTCCACCCAGATTGTAGTACATCAGTTTGCTGTGATGTATGCCTGCCCTCCCATTATATTTATTGTCTTTCTGTTTTGTTTTAGGTACTGTGGTTGCTTTTAACTTGTACTTTGACCAGAATCATTGCTGAGTTTAATTTCAGAAATACATCTGAACTTAAAAAATAACAATGGGGTTGTTGCATGTTTATAAATTGTATGTTCACAATTATGCTTCTTGTTGTATTAGTTAATGTTACGTATGCTTACTTGCTCTACCTTTATGGAAAGGAAATCCCTATATTTAAAGGGATTTTCTAAAGTCTGGCTGGTGTCATATTCAGGGAGTCCTCTTTGCTGCTGTCAATCTATTGGGTTTATTTAATTGCACAAACCATTACTCAGCTACATTTCACATTCTCTTACATGTACAATATTTATATTGCCAGAAAGTTTGATTTAGAACCTTTTGGCTACAATCAAGTGCATATAGCTCAACATAACTTTATTTACATTATCTCTATAGCTCATATCCAGTATGTTTTAAAAAAATTATATCTTTACATCTGCTACATAAATAGATAAAATATAATAAATAGTTTAAAAACAGAATATGAAATGATAGTTAAGAGTTCACTAAAAATATTGTCATTTATTTGATAATTCCTTTGCACATTGGAAATGTATTTTTAATTTAGTTGTAAAGATCAAGAACAAAGCAAATAGCATTAAGTAAAATCTATCTATCTATCTATCTATCTATCTATCTATCTATCTATCTATCTATCTATCTATCATCTAGTCAGCCATCCTCTTAAATTGTATCAGAACACACAGGAGTCCTTTTTAAAATACATTTCTTGAAACATTTCTCATCTAGTTTTAGTATGAATAAAAGCATACTGGAAAGTGAGAAATCCAAATATACCAGTCACAGGACTTTTTAAGTTACATTTTTATATACTATAAAGTTTAATACTAGGTTTTCCAGTGGCTGATAACTTTATTAACATCTCTTTACTAATATTTATCTTCCTTACTGTAATGGGTTACAGTATTTCCTCAAGTGAGCAAAACCCAAAACACAGACTTTGCATGCTTAGAAATAAAGAGCTGTTACTTACCAGTTCAACTCTCCCAAAACCTCCAACTCCAAGAGTGTCAATGATGTTGAAGTCAGACAGCTTCAGGTTGGCGAAGAAGGCAGCTTCGGCTTCATATCTGGATTTTTTTATGTGAAAAAATGGAAATTTCTTAGAGGTGTATACATGAGTGCTATGTAATTCTGTTCCGAAATGAAGTACACGTTGATTGGGAGATACCATCTTAATTTCCATCTTTCCTTTTAAAAAGTCTTTGTTTTCTCACCCATTGGTCCCAAATCCACATTCTAAGTCTAGTTATTTCTTTTTTTCAGAATAAAAGTACCAAATGTGCCAACAGCATGTCTGTAATGCAAACATTTTGTGTTATAATTCAATTTCACTTATCGATTGAATTTCAGATCCTGACAGTTTCTATTAGTCTTCTGGTGAAGATTTTTCATGTTTTTTTGGTGGTTTTTTTTTTTAGTATTTTGGGAAGATAAAGTCTTTCTTATGAGTTCCTTTATCCACAAGCTGGCAGAGTTTCTATAAATGTTTATTGAAAGTGGCAAGATCATGAAGGTCCCTGGAGAAAAATCTCAGCCAGGTTTTATGAAATCATATCCAATAAGCTGAGAAATTGGTATACAGACCTCTGAAAGGAATTATTTCAGGCACACACTACTATTCCTAAAAGAATATTTTCCTATACCCTACATTTTTAAACTTCACATGCAAGCTTGTGGTCCTCAAATCCAGAAGGGCTTCCTTTAGTCTGTGTATGAAGTAGCTCAGAATAAAAATGTACACAGTACTAGCTATGCAAGCCATTTGAAACTGACACACGCACACATGCCAAAAATAAGCCTTCCATGGATATGCCCATTAAATATGAATCTCTTAAAATAGTGTCTTGCTAGGGATTATGGTATTTTTAGAAAGGCTATGAGGGTAAACTGAAGAGGATGTTCCATCTACTCGCTGAACTTTGATATAGGAAGTATCTTGCTGGACGGAGGAGACATAATACATGCACACTTTTTCTAATGATACTTTTTATTTCTTCTGAACTGAGTGTTCCAAAATGCATGTAGAAAGAGAATGCTTTTTCATTATTCTGAAACAGGTTAACCAAGGGGCACAATGAAGTGAAAATCAGTGAGGAGTTCTTTGTCTACATCTTTTTAGCTCCATTTATTCCAAAGGAATATAGGTGGGTTTTTTTGGTTTTTTTTTGGGTCCATCACGCTCACATGTAGGATTTTTAAACTGTGCTTTGCTTTTTTTATGTGTTTATGTTTTGTCCTAAAAGGCAGAGATTATAAATACAACTCCTCTGGGTCTCAAAAGCAATACGGGATTAATGTTGTTTGGGAATACAGAACATTCAACTTATTGTGAAGGTTCATTTTCTACCATGGAAATATGACATTCCATAGAAAGTATCTTCTACCCAGAAGCTCTGGTGGTAGGGCTAGAAGTTTTTGAGGTTGCTTCCCATGGGAAGGGATAGCTCCATCTCCAGTTTTGGAATGACCAGTTGATGAAGAACAAACACCTGACAATACCTGAGTAGAGGAAGAATATGTAAAACCATGTAAAACGACTGGTTGCTGGTACTGATGGGTCCCAATACATTTCTCTCTTGCTTCCCATTAAGTTGGTGCCTGGGTGAGCTGGATGCCCCATCTCCATTGTAGAAAATGGACCTTCAGTCCCATGTATAATTTTCTAACAGCAAAGAAAGGGCATTCCATAGTGAGACATACCACAGAAGTCCCTGAAAGTGGGATCTATCATTCAGATAGCCGCTGATACTTGCTAGGAACTATTTTCTACAGCACCTTCCTGCTGGAAGATACTTTGGCTGTGACATGACTTAAATTTGTAGTATTTAATAAGCCAGGACATGGAGGATGATGTAGTGGCCCTATAGATGCCCCCCAGGGCGCAGAGGAGTCAAAGATGGCTGCTGTAGGTGTCTTTTAGGGCACGTTTCTTCTATATCTTGTAGGTTAGCTTGTTTTAGAACCTCTTGATGTGCAGATGGGCTGAGAGAGGTTCTTTGTTCTGCGCTCTTAGGACTGAGGAAGATGCTGGGGCCTCCTTCTGTCTTAATGAGGGTTTTTGTAATCAGCAAACACTCAGCTGATTGAGCAAGATTGACCTCTCAGAAAAGATTGAGGCTTGATCCCCAGGAGGCTAAAGCTGTATTTGCTTCTTCTTCTGTCCAGACTCCCTGCCTACTTGGCCTAGAAAATGTGTTCTCCCATTCCAAAAGTGACATCCACGGTGAGCTGGATCTACTGTAGTATTGAATTTTCCTGCAAAGTAAGGGGCTCAGGAGGCATATTTAGCTCCAACATCAGAGAAGGCTTCTGAAGAAAACATAGAGAGCAAATTACGATGAGTTTGCTGGCTCTGAGTCCCTAAACAGCCACCAAGTTAAATAACTAAAAGACCAAGTAAAAGAAAAAAGAGGAAATAAAGAAAAAAAGAAGGTTTTGTTCCTAACCAAGTGTAGAGAACAATAGAGATGACCTTTGAGAAACTATGCAACAGCTGTTAGCAAAACATGATTTAAGTCCCGGACGGGGAAAAAAAAATAGAAAAAAAAACAACTCCAACTACTTCTGCCTTAACTCGCTGGAGTATAAGAGGGAGGGGGAGAAAATGCTGTCAGGCTTTCAAGATTCTGTTACAGTAGCCTATATCAATAAAATATAGTTCGAGTATTCCTTGTGGAATGTTTCCTGACCTGGCCTACGTCAAAGGGCTGACACCAAGGGAATCTTTATCATGTGGCTGACTGGCATGACTCATGAGTATGTGCACCCTTTGGAGCAAGGCTGGACCAGGAGCTATCCCCTCTCAGACACATCAATGTCAGAAACCTCTAGCCCTGCATCCAGAGTGAGTGGGCAGAGTTACCTGCTGTAGGAAAAACACAGGGCATCCAGAAATGCTGACATGGTTCTTGAATCCTTGCCAAATCCTCTCCAAATTTAAAATGCTTAGAGGAAGCAAGAAACTCACATCAGAAAGACCAGAAATGGGGAGCAGCTCTTCAGTATACCTGGCTCCTGACAACTTGTCAAATACAGGTAGTCCTTGGCTTACAACACTCATTCAGTGACTGTTCAAAGTTACAACAACATTGAACAAGGGGGATTTACAACTGGTCCTTGGAGTTCTGGCCATCACAGTATCCACACAGTCATGTGATCATGATCTGTGCACTTGATGCCCAGCTTGTAATTACAATGTTGAAGTGAGCCATGGTCACATGATCATGATTTCTGATGTTCCCTGATGGCTTCCCACAAGCCAGGTCAATGGGAAAGCCAGAAGTCCCACTCCTGCTGCTTTTTTGCCTGCCCATGCTCCGTAGCATCTGCCTGCAGCACTCCTGGCCCCCCACGGCACCCATGCACCCGCCCATGCTCCAGAGTGCCTACCTGTGGCACCCCCTGTGGCCTCATGCACCCCGTGCTCCATAGCACCTGTCCACGGCACCCCACCACCACCCTGTGGCATCTGCATACCTGCCACCCTACTTTGCCTGGGATTCCCACCTCTTCCCGCTTAATGACCCAAGCAGTCCTGGGGTTACTACAGCAACTGGAATTGCCTAGATTGCCATTGCTAAGCGATGCAGTCCTGTAATGTTGTGCTTTACAACTGCATCACTTAGTGACAGAAGTTCCGGTCCCAATTTCTGTCGTAACCTGAGGACTGCCTGTAGTGGGTTGGCAGGCTATAAAAGCATGATTAAAATGGGAAAGAGCAGCCCATGTGGAGGGTAAATTCTGCAACCATCATGGAACAAGCAGCACAGAGAGGGAAAGTTAATGCAGGGATAGCAGCACAGGCAGCAAAGGGAGCTGCATAAGCGAAGGCTACTTGAGTGAGACCCTATATATGATGGGACAGAAGTTCTCTTAATTGTTGTTGTTGTTCAGTCATTAAGTTGTGTCTGACTCTTCGTGACCCCATGAACCATATT